AGAATAATGAAGAATCTGTGAAACACCTCACAACATGGTTGAACCTGAAGGACATTATGCAGAGTGAAATTAATAAATCACAAAAGGACAATCATTGCATGAGCACAAAGTTGTAAAAATTTTTTTAAAAAGGCTCTCTTGATAAAAGAAACAATCTATGATGGTTACAATGGTGGGTAAGACAAAATTATTCATGGGCTGGAAGGCTTGTTACTGACCATGTGGTTCAAACTGACTTTGAGGTTGAGTGCTTATTCTACAGCACCACACCAGGACTCCAGGTTAGAGGGTAGACACATGTTAACATGAGTGACAAGGGAGGCAATATACAACAAGAGTGAGGTTAAGAGAGGAAAGATGAAGGTAGTAGCAGGAGACACAGGGAGGAATGCAATAGTTAAAGTGAGTAGAGGGTAAATGCTGTTAACTGTTGGTACATGGAGAGAATTGCAATCATGTAATGAAACAAAGCATATGATATGTTGAAATAAAACTGATGAACTTCTCTGCACACCTTCACTCAATTCACAATAAAAAGTTTAAAAAGGAAAAGACCAGATTTTTTAAAATAAATAAAGTACTATGTTAAATATAGTCCACAAAGACAATATTCTACATCACAGTTTGGTGAGTAGTGACTGGGATCTTAAGCTCCTGAGCAGTCTGGTAGAAAGTAAAGAAAACTGAAGACACATAGCAACAATTAGTCCAATGGATTAACGGACCACACAAACATCTACCTCTATGACCCTGCGACTAGAATAACTAGATGGCGCCCAGCTACCACTATCAACTGCTCTGAAAGGGATCCCATTAGAGGTAAACAAAAGTCAAAATTATAAAAAAGACCAGGCTTACTGGTTGGATACAGACTGGAGGAATCCCTGAGACAATAGCCCTCAGTCACCCTGTACAACTATAAGGAGAACAGTAACACTAGGGAGGTATGCACACTGAATGGTAATAAACCCTTTAAGATAAAAAGACAGTATTTACCCAAGGACAAAATCCAGAAGGATTAGGAAAGAATGAGGATTAGACAAAGGAATTAACAATGATGAAGTGGGAAAAGTGAATGTTACATTATGCAAATAATCAATGACATGAAACAAAATGTATATGAATTGTAGAATGGAAAAATGATGTAATCTGCAAACTTGCACTCAACTATATAGGGTTTCTGAGGAGCAGCTGGTAAGCTTGAATCGCTGACCTTGCGGCTCAAACTGACCTTGCAGTCCAGCGCATAACACACAGCACCACATAGTAGTATAGTATTTTATAGAGGAAAGGTAAATATGCATTGCATAGGAAACAAAACTAAAAGAAATATACCACTACTGTTGTTAAATGCTGCTGAGTTGGTTCCAACTCACAGTGACCCCGTATAAGGGTTTCTAAGGCCTGTAAATCTTGCAGGAAGAGGAAGTCTCATCTTTCTCCCTCAGAGTGACTGGTGGGCTTGAACTATTGACCTTGTGGCTCGCAGTCTAGTGCTTATCCAATGGAGCTACCATGTACCCCAAAAGAAATGTGTTGAGTTGTTAGGTGTCATCAAGTTGGTTCTAGCTTATAGCAACCCTGCACACAATAGAACAAAACATTGCCTAGTACTGTGCCATCTTCACAACTGCTGCTATGCTTCAGTATACTGTAGCTGCCACTGTGCCAATCTATCTTATTTGAGGTCTTCTTTTTCACTGAACCTCCACTTTACCAAGCATGATGTCCTCCTTCTCCAGGGACTGGTCCCCCTTGATAACATGTCAGAAGTATGAAAGACCAAGACTCACCAGCCTGGCTTCTTAATGAGCACTCCCACTGTCTTTAGAAACACAGACCTGTTTGTTCTTCTGGTAATCTGTGATACCATCAGTATTCTTCTCCAACACCACAACTCAAATGCATCAATTCTTCTACAGTCTTCACTGTCCAACTTGCACGTGTATGTGAAGTTATTGGAAATACAATAACTTGGTTCTGGTGCACCTTAGTCCTCAAACTGACATCTTTGCTCTTAAACACTTCCAAGAGGTTTTGTGCAGCAGATTTGCCTAATGCAATACATCATTTAATTTCTTGACTGTTGATCGTTAATCCCAGCAAAATGAAGTCTTTGACAACTTCAAACTTTTCTCCATTTATCATGATGCTATTTATTGGTCCAGTGGTGATTATTTTTATTTTCTTTACATTAAGATACAATTCATACTGAAGGCTGTGACCTTTGCTCTTCATCAGTCAGTATTTTAAGTCCTCTTCACTTTCAGCAAGCAAGGCTATATCATCTGCATATTACAGGTTGTTAATGAGTCTTCCTCCAATCTTGGAGGAATATTCTTCATATAATCCAGCTTCTCAGATTTATATAGCTCAACATACAGATTGAATAAACAGGTAAAAGACTACAACTCTGGCATATACTTTACCTTATTTTAAACCATTCGGTATCCCCTTGCTCTGTTCAAATAACTGCCTCTTGGCAGGTTCCTTTACAGGTTCTTCATAAGCACAAATGAATGTTCTGTAATACCCATTTTTCACAATGTCACCCATAGCTTGTCAAGTAAAAAGCAAATTTTTTATTTACTTTTTGTTTATTGTATTTCCTGAACTGTCAACTTATGTAAAAAATCACAAGTTATCATTTTAAAAATGATGGCATATAATTTAATATTTACACAGGTTTCTAGAGTATTTGAAAGAAAATTTCTTTGCCAAATTATGGCATGCTGTTGGCTAAATTGTCCTTTTTACAAGGATCCTTTATTAAGTTTCTAAAAACTATACTCCAAGTGAGGTTATCAAGGGGGTCAAAGCTTAGCGTACCGACATAACTCACATCAAAGAAAAATTTAACTTGATTGAGATTTTGCCTGAGCATTTTTTAAAAATCATTAAGCACCTCTTATGTGCAAAGCAAAATACTAGAGATTCCAAGGTAAACTACACAAGTATTCTCAAGAAACCAAAACTGAGACAAAAATGTATATAGCTACCTATGACACAATATGCTAAGTGCTGCTGTCCTTACACACAGGAATGTCTGTTTAAAATGCAATGAAGGATAAATGGAATTCTGACATGAAAGTATAAGGGGCTCTGCAGAGTCACTCCCCAGTGAAACTGATGTAAAAAGATTTTTTTTTTAATTTTTAAATCTTTATAAAGTCTCTGAAAACAGTTCTAAAAGCATACAACAAATGAAGAAACATTTACTTAGGAAAATCTACTAAAACTTGGTAAAAAACACAGCAAGAGTTTGTGGTATAAAAACTAAGAAACTCTTCCTTCCCTTACTCCTCCCAGTTTAATGCAACTAAAACTCCATTCCAGAATGGTACAGCAAGAATACAGCAATAACAAAACAAGCAACTACACTAAAATTAAGAACTCCAAATAGGTTTCTCTTAGCCTGCAAGTTGGCCTTTGTCATTGCAAAAGTACCATTGAGTCAGCTCCAACTGCTCAGCACCCTGTATAGGCTTTCTAAGGCTTTCAATTTTCACAAGCCTCATCTTTCTCCTGCGGAGTGGCTGGCAGGCTCAAACCACAGACCGTGTGGTTCACAGTCCAGTATTTACCATATGTAGCCACTGAGCTCCTGCCAAGTTGGCCTACAGACCCAGAAATAAGTCCTCCTTTTTCTGAAATGAAAGCTGTTCCAAGTTTAGGTATTTCTGGACTATCTGTAAAATCATGTCATTTTTGCTTAAATCATCAGAGGATAAAATAAAAAATGCATAAAGCAGCAACAATAACAATCACTTCTGTGAATATCAATAATGTGGACAAGCGCAATTAAAAATAAATAGAAGCCAAAATAAGTTACCATTTAAACAGGCAAAGGCTAAAACTCTGGAAATACAAAACGTTGGCAAAAATTTACAGTGGCAGGCACACCTAACACATAGTTGACAAAGAGCATAAATTGGTACAATCTTTATGACAAATGACAAGTATGAAAAGTAAAGATGCACACATCCTCTCACCTAACAATTCTACTTTTAGAAAGTCATCATAAACTCATAAACGAGTAAAGATAAACAAAGTTGTTCATTACAGCCTTATATACTATCAAAAAATCTGAAAACAATCTACACATCCATCAACAAAAGAATGCTTAGTTAAATTATGGTGCAGACAGCAGTTCAACTGAGTGAAAACTTAAAGTATAACAAGAAACAGTCTTAGATATATACTTGTTTATACAATTTCTGTTGTTGTTAAGTGCTGTCAAGTCGGCTCCAACTCATAGTGACACTGTATAGGGTTTCCGAGGAGCAGCAGGTGTGTTTGAACTGTCAATCTTGCAGCTAGAAGTCCACTGCTTATCTTACAGTGTCACACCAGGATAAGAGTATATATGATAATACAAATAGTATCTAGAACATGACCAATTTTGCCAAAATGAATTTCTACAGAATTTCTAAATCAAGACACAAGAAAGTTAATGAAAATGTACCTCTGGGGAATGCAAAAGAGGTTGAAGGAAGTGGTGAGTGAAACTTTTAACATTTTATTCACATATATTCTAATACTATTTGAATTTCTACCATAAATAATATCTTTGCAATTTTTTAAGTTACTTTCTAAATTGCTATTCAATTTATGAGTGCTACTTAAATGTTTAAATTGCCAAATTTTAAGATATATATAGAGAGACTTCAAGACACTAAATGTCATAATATTTTAGAAAAAATACATCATCTTCTGACAAGCAGGGATTTTGACAAGTCATAAATAAATAGTCATAGGAAACTAAATGACTTGAATAGAATGCTTTCAGTATGGCTTCACTAACCAGCAACATTCCAGAATCTACTATGTACCAAACTCTGAGTTAGGTGTCATGGGGACTAGAGTGGAAGAAAATACAATGGGTTCAAAAGGAAATCACTGAGGAGCAAAACATGCATTAACGAAACAACTAATAAACAACTTCAAATATGATTTTTTTAAAATTTAATAGTTTTTTAAACCTAATCAAATAGACTCACCAAATGGTAACTCAAATCTCGTATCAAGCAAAATTTTATGAGGCGTTGGATTTTTAGTTCCACAGATCTCATCACCTTTCATTAATGTCTCTGCTTCCAAAGTTGACCACTCGCCAGGCCCTTCCTAGAAAACAAAGATCTATGATTAAATTTCATTCTTTCATGGCTCTCTTCTTGACTTAACAGCCAGGTGTTTTTCTCTGAAGTTGTTTGAGAGCCTGACGAGGCAAACATACTACCTTAGCAGACACACCACTGTCACTATCTGCCTCACTCAGCTTATCTCTCCCTTTCTGTTCTCCCTCTTTGGTGAAAAGAACACCTTTCAGTGTGCTTAGCTATGCAAACTCATTGAGTCTAGAATGCCCAGAGTAGCAAACTCAAAAATGAAGCATCAAATGGGGAAACAGAATTGGCCCAGGGAAATATGCTTCTAGTCAAGTATCTGTAGAGTATGGGACCTTAGGTGGAATCCTGAGCCCCACTCAGAATCTTCTAACTTAGGACATTCCCACTTGAAGACCAACCTAGAACTTCTGGGAGAACAGAAGTTTTTGTTTTAAAGCTTTTATTGTGAATTGAGTGACAGTTTATGGGGCAGATCATCAGCTTTGCACTCAACCGATCATATTTTGTTTCATTGCAATGATTACAATCCCCTCCATGTACCATCAGTTAACAGTATTTATCTCTATTTTCTCATCATAGATACACACACACACACACAAAATAAATAAACAAACAGAAATATATATTCATTTCAATAAACAAATGACACAGTTTGTAAGCCAGCCTCTTGCGCACTAGCACACAGCCTTTCTCATTCCATGGGTTTAGAGTCCTCGGATACACTATCTCTCTATGCCATTGCCTCTGTTTCTGTCTGCTGTCGCTGCTTCTCTGGTTAGGATCCCATGTTCTGTTCATGCTCTTCCCTCATGCTGGTCCTAGAGTCCTGTGTTCCTGGAATATGATTGATTACTCCCCCATTTTTGTTTCTAAATTTACAGTTGTGACAATTGCAATTAGTCATGATAATAATTACTCACTACCGAATCAAAAGAATCCTATCCCTATCCTTCCCCATCCCATTTCACAAGACCCTTCTAAACAAGAGGAAAACTATTCAGTGGGGATTCCACCACAGCTACCTCATTCTGAAACTAAGCACACTCTTGAAAACTTTGTATGCCAGCCACTTCATAGCTTTATAGGCCCCTATTTTTGGTAGTCAGTGTCTAAGTTGCCCATCCCTATCAACCCTGTGTTCTAAGAGGATAGGCTTAACCCTTGATGTGAAGACTCCATCCCTCTCAGTTGGAATTTTAAGCAACTATGTATATATGGATTGGAATGCAAAGGTTGGGAGCAAGGAAGTAGGATCAGTAGTTGGAAAATATGGCCTTGGTGATAGAAATGATGCTGGATATCACATGATAGATTTCTGCAAAACCAATGATATTTTCATTTCAAATACCTTTTTTAGACAGCATAAGAGACAATTATACACATGGACCTCACCAGATGGAAGACACAGAAATCAAATTGACTATATCTGCGTAAAGAGACGACAGAAAAGCTCTATATCATCAGT